TGTTGTTGTTGTTATGTGCCGTCGAGTCGAACCCGACTCATAGCAACCCCTCCTTGGGTTTCCGAGGCACTATCGCTACGGAAGTAGGATTGCCCAACCTTCCTTCCAAGGAGTGACTGGTGGGTTTGAACCGCCAGCCATCTGGTTAGCAGGCAAGTGTCTTAGCCACTATGCTAATACCTAGGTTCACTTAATCAGCTGTGTAAAGGAACTTTTTCTATGTGTTAAAAGTAGGAAACATCGGTTGGACATGCATTTATTTGCTTTTCCAACTCTCAGCAAATATTAAGTGAATTAATGTGTACAAAGTGCACACTACATTGTTTATGACATGACTGTTGTTGTTTGCCATCATCAATTCCAACTCATGGTGACGCCATGTGTTTCAGAATAAGACTCTGTTCCATATGATTTTCAATGATTGCAACTTTATGGACATAGATAGTCAGGTCTTTCTTCTGTGGCACCACTGCACACTGTGTGTATTCAAACTCAACTTTTCAGTTAATAGTTGATCGTAAACTATTTGCACCACCCTGGGACCTGCACTCTATGGTACCAAAAACCAAAAACAAACAAACTCAATGCTTCCAAGTTGGATCTGATTCATAGCAATCTCTCCTTGGGTTTCTGAAGTGGTATCACTATGGAAGTAGATTGCCCAAACTTCCTTCCCAGGAGTGGCTTGTGGGCTTGAACTGCCAGTCTTCTGGTTAGCAGTCTGGTTAGTAGTCAAGTGCCTTAGGCACTACACTACCAGAGCCTCCATAAATGTTCACAATAATTATTACAGTCTACAACGTTCAGTTGTTAGAGACTGCATATTAATTGGTTCTATAATCAACACCAATGGAAGCAGCAGTCAAGATATCAGATAACATATTGCATTGGGCAAATCTGCAGCAGAAGACCTCTTTCAAGTGCTGAAGAGCAAAGATGTCTCTCCTTGAAGATTACGATGCATCTGACACAAGCCATGGTATCTTCAAGAGCCTCACCTGCATGTGAGAGCTGGTCAATATATAAGGAAGATTGAAGAAGAGCTGATGCTTTTGAGTTGTGGTGTTGGCAGAGAATGCTGAAAATACCATGGACTTCTAAAAGAACTAACAAATCTGTCCTGGAAGAAGAGCAGCTGGAATGCTCCTTGGAGGCGAGAATGGCCAGAGTTCATCTCACCTACTTTGGTCATGTTGTCAGAAGGGACATTCCCTATAGGATATCATGCTTGGTAAAGCAGAGGGTCAAAGAAAAAGAAGGCAGCCCTCAGTGAAATAGATTGACAGAATGGCTGCAACGATGGGCTCAGGTAAAGCAAGGATCATGGGACTGCACAGTGTTTCGTTCTGATGCGCACAGGGTTACTATGAGCCAGAGATGACTTGATGGCACCTAATGACAACAACACTATGTTCAAAGCACTGTGATGAGTACAAAAGGAGTGACAAGAGCACCTGGCCTCTCAGAGCAGTGATGGCCCTAGGAACCTGCTCCTTTGCCCAATGAAGGATACTGTGGCCATTTTCAATTAAATATATAAGTCATTGACTTTGCATGCCCCACACTAGTAGTCCTGAAATGATTTTTAACCATCTAAATGAATTATTTAAAAATTATTTGAATGTATTTATAAATTCTAAAGATTAAATATAGACATCTCTATAAATTTACTTCACATAAAAAATTAAATTTTTAGTCCTTTGTTATACCTATTTAACTATGAACTTTAAATTTTTAAATACAGTGCTAAACATAACCAACAAGAAAGGAGTTTTAACAATGAAACAAAAAATTAAATATGCTCATATTTAAAACTAAAAAAAAAAAACAAAAAAAAAAAAACTCACTGCCATTGAGTCAGGTTTGATCTACCCCTCCTGGGGTTTCTGAGGTGGTATCACTATGGAAGTAGATTGCCCAACCTTTCTTCTGAGGAGTGGCTAGTGGGTTTGAACCACCAGCCTTCTGGTTAGCAGTCAAATGCCTTAGGCACTATGCCACCATAGAGAGACATTTACTTTCAAACAGTTCATACATCTCATCCT